GCACCTGTTGTAGTGCACTTTCCTCCACACTCTGGCTGCTGGCATGATCCTGTGCTTGGGCCAAGCATCTTGTGCTGGCAGGAGAGTGGCCATGTCCCAGTGATGTGTGTCCCTGGGACAGGGCACTGTGGATGGCATGTCCCCCTCAACCTGGCACACTGGTACTCCGCTGACATGGCACTGCAGGGCTGGCATGAAGAGAACCAGGGTGGGTGTTCCCTGGGTTCCCAACTCAGGAGAAGTGTTGGGAAACCCTATCAGGGATGTCTCCCTCCTCCAGCCTCCCTCGGGCAGGACCTGAGGCTGACATGCCAGGGTGTGAGGGGTGGAGATGTGCCCATGCTGGAGGTGGGAGGCAGTGGGACACAACTGGCGGTGACCAGAGGCAGAGGTGGGGGCAGACTGGCCTTAGTGGAAATGAGGGTTGGGCAGTCAGCAGCCCCTGGACGCAGTTTTAACTGTCCCCATGTGGCAGGTGACCTTGGGGAGCCCTGTCAGGCCCACAGCTGGGTGTTGACCATCAGTGAGTGTCCATGGTCAGGTCCCTACTGGAGTTGGGGGACTTGGCATGACCTTGTGGGTCTGCATGGCCAGGGGACTTGGGTTGCCCCCCAGCTATGGTGCTTGTCTCTCCCAGTGACTATGCCTTCGCCTGCCTGTGCTTCCTGGCTGTGAGCAAAAGTGGGTGGTTAAAGTCGGGAGCCATCAAAAAGTTCAAGATATTTCTGCTAACCTTAAAATGCTGTTGGAAAAGTTGGATCCTGCAGGAGCTGAGCCCCATCTCTTGGGTCTCCTGCAGGCCAGCACCTGCTGCCAGTTCCTGCTGGCATTGTGGGCAGCACTGGGATGAGCAATGAGGCTGGCAGGGAACAGGCAGCCGCTCTCCGTCCTCCCAGGACAAGCACAGGCAGACCCTGCCTAGTCCTCTGTGGGGTACATGCAGGGGCTTTTGGATACTAAGCTTGCCCTGGGCTGTTTTACCTGTATTGAGGCCAATAAAATCCCTCACAGATGCCAGGCCACAGAAGCGCATGGCAGGTTTGGGGCCCCTAGCTGCTCCTCTGCAACACTGAGCTGGCTGGAGGCCATGGCTGGAGGCTTCAGGCATTGCTGGGTGCAAACAGGAGGGGACTGAGCAGACTTTTGGGTGGCAGTGATGGATGCAGAGAGCTACCTCAGCCTGGCCTGGCCTGACTGTCTCCACTGGGCCAGTAGGACATGAATGCTGCTGCATCCTGGGAACACTGGTGGAGTTGTCCACTTGTCCGTGATCCAGCACCCATATCCATGCTGACCCAGCACCTCTGGGGGCCCTGTGGTGGCCATAGGTGGGCACGGTGGCACTGTTGTGCCAGGCCGGGCTGTTTGCTCTCAGCAGTGTCTCATAGGGCTTGTCCAGCCCTTTGACCTGGTTGTGTGGGAGCTGTGTGTCCCGGCAGGCACAGCTGCTTCCTGCTAGGCCGCCTCGCAGCTCCTCACTCCCTGATGGTGTGGCAGAAGATGGGCACAGGCATTGAGGTGCTCTCCCTGTGTTCCAGAGAGGGACATGTGTCCCTGACAGAGGCCAGCACCCTGCTGTAGCACCCACCAGCTCTGCCTCCCTACTGGGGAGCAAGAGCAGGACCTGCTGCCCCTATCTCCAGCCAGAGGCAGGGTTGAATGTGGGACCCAGCAGGCATAGGGTACCCCACCAGCACTTGTGCAAACCCAGACAGCACCCATGGCCTCATTTGGCTCACATCCTGGCAGGCTAAGGTGAACATGTGCCAGGGCATGTGGAAGGGGTGGATGCCACCACTCAGGAGCGGTTCTCAGCCCCCACAGCTGCTGTCACCTAGGCACAAGGGCTCATAGGACCAGTGTCCCACCCTGGGTCCTGCACCTGTGCCCTTGCCAAGAGAGGGAAGAGGCAAGAGATTGGTGAGAGGGCGGAGCATGGCCAGCTGCTGGCAGGCCCTGGCCCCACTCCTTTGCCCTCTCCTACCTGCTGGGAAGTGTTTCCTTCCTGGACACCTGCATTCTGGCCTTTCCCTCCTTCTCACTTCCTCACACAATCCCAAAATCTCCCCCACTGTTCTGTGCCCATGGGCAGAGATGCCACCATCCCCAGGCTGTGCTGGTGTTGGGTGTCCCTACTGGGTGCCTCTCTGAGGGGCTGAGGTTCCCTGGGGCCCCCACTGCAGGCACTGTGGAGTGTGGAGCAGCTCTGGCTTCCTCACCCCTGGAAAGCCGCTGTGGGGGCAGCCCTGAGAACCAGTGGGACAGGATCAGTCCCAAAGGCATCGGTTGGTGAGCACCTGTCTACTGCCATGTCTACCATTTGCCATGCCACTCGAGGTGCCAAAGGTGTGGGACAGCCTACCTCAGCACTGGGGTATGAGGCAGTGCAGGGGGGGATGGGGATGAGGGACATCTCTGGGGACGGAGATGAACAAAAGGTCAATGACCCTGTCAAAAAAAATGAATAACAACAAGCAGGTTCCTGCAGTTGCCACCAAGGACAGCCCCCATGGGAGCCTGGTACAGCCCGGCGTGGGTGTGGGGGGACAGTTCCCCCTGTGCCTGGGCACAGAGGCCCCATTGTGTGCCTGATAAACAGGCGGGAAGGAGAGCAGAACAGGGGCCATGGGACAGCAGTGTGGGTCAGGGTGTCCCCTGCCACCTCCCCCAGCTTGTGCGGGAACAGTGACACCAGGGACTGTCCCTAGGATAGGTGGTGCCAGAAAGAGCACAGGTGGGAGCCTCGTGGAGATACGGGTGCTGTGGCAAGCACCTTCCCAGCAGTGGAGCTGGGCCCTGCCCTGCCTGCAGTGGCAGCAGGTTTTGGGGTCTTAGCACCAGCCTTGGGTCTGATCCAGCTCTGGAGTGAGCTCACCTCACCCTGTGCCTCAGTTTTCCCACCTGCAGTAGATCCCCCCAGCTCAGCAGTGAGGCCAGCAGGGCCGTGACGTGTCCAGGCACTCCCGGTGCAAAGCAGCAGCAGCTGCACTGGCAGTGTGCCGGGTACCCGCTGCTGCTGGTGGCTGAAGGTGCTGATGCCCATCCCCAGGGCCTCTGGGCACGGAGCCCAGCCTGGGCTGCCCGAGCTGCTGTAGCCAGGGATTCCTGGGGATTTGCACTGATTCACTCTATGCCGCCAGTGGAAAC